ACTCACTTGTCCAAGAACATTGTGCTGTAGCCCTGGATTTCTACCTGTCCGGCGCCCTTTCCACCTCTCCACAGAGATTTCCCTCCAGAGAATTCCCTTTCTCCACTCACCCTTCCACCTAGTCCAGGTGCACTGACCTCTACCCTGGAGAACTGACCAGACATCTGACATCTCTGGGCCAAGGGAAGGAGAGAAAATGTGAGGAATGGTAAATCTGCACATTGGTTCTTGGCTGCCAGCCTTTGTCTACCTGACTCCATTTCTACACCTGTCCTTCCAAGCCTCACTTCTTTTAAGGGCTCTCTGTACTTGAGCTGCAGCCACCTGCCGCTCTTCGTAGTGCACACAGCTTGCTCCAGCCAAAGCTTTTATGGAGCAGCTCCTGTAACAGTCATCAAATCTTAACTATCTGATGCAGAGGCTTAGACACACTATTCCGTGTAATACCTTCTAAGGGTGGCCCTAAGCCACACCCCTATCACATCACCCTGTTTTACTTCCTGTATAACTTGTATTGTGTATATCAGCTATTCTCCTAGTCCTTTACTTACCCGTTTCTTCCATTAGGCTGTATGTTATTTGAGGTTGGAAAACTTACAACATGCATCCACTCTTGCTTCCCCAGTACATGGCGATGGCATGTAGCAGTGATGACTTTGTGCACGTATTCACCCATGTAACAGCGTGGACAGCAGGATTGAAGTGACTTATATCTGCTGAGTTCTCTAGCCTGTTTGCAGGCATGGCCTCCCTATTCTCAGTCCTCAGGTCTTTCATACTAATTGTAGCATATATCCCTCACATACATTGAGAGCTTTCTATGTGTTGTCTACACTCCTCAAACTTCACAAAGTTCTTACTGAAATCCTCATCTTCAGAGAAGCCTTTCCTCACTGCAGGCCCTTGAGCGCAGATCCCTTCATTATACAGCAAAGTTGCTGTCATAAACCCTCTCTCCCTTACAACGTTATCGCTACTACTGGGATCATTTGATTTACATATCTCCCCCAGTGGAGCATGAGGGCAAAGACTATCTTAGACTTCTGAAAATTCCCCAACTTCAACTGTAGTACTTTGTGTGGAGAATGTGCGCAGTAAAATTTATAGGCAAAATGAGTGAATGCCAGGGATCTGGAGTGGGAAAGGGCTACGATCTGAACCTTAATGCTAGAATACAGGTGGCAGAAGGATAGACGACAGGAACCACGTGAACAAGAGATTGGAGGCTGGACATACAAAAACCGTGTGTCAGGAAGTCAGAGCGAAACCCATGTTGTTAGAAGCATAGTGCAGGAGATAAGAGAGTAAGCACAATACTTCCTGCAGAAACGTGGAAGGTAGAAAATCTACCAAATGAACTGGATGATCTGGCTAAGGAGATTTCCAGGCAGAATGTTGGAGGTGCCTCCTGGCTTCTTGCTGCTTATGCTAAATTGTGAGAGAAGAGAGATAAGCCAAAAAAAACCCTCTGTTAAATAAAACCAGAACTTGATGCTTTTGAAAATTCTCAACTCCTCCCAATGTCAAATGAGGTTAAAATTAACAAAGGGTTTCCAGGCAAAGAACACATGCAGATCCATGTCAGGAAAAGAGGATGCAATGATGTAGCTAGGGATGTGGTTATAAAATCTTTAAGTCTTCAGGGCTGGGGATTTAGCTCAGTGGTTCTGCCACCTGCCTTGGAAGCGCAAGGACCGGAGTTCGATCCCTGTATGAGAAAAACCACAAAAAACCCAAAACAAAACAAAAAAAACCAAAGGCATTCTGTTAAACAGTAGGGCTTCTGAAAAGCTTAAAGTTGTTTTCATCAGCAGTCTCAGCAAAAGCTCAAGGGAGAAAAAGGCTAACTCAAAGAGATTTGTAAGTCTGACTGTTGTTTGCAGGAGTGGGCCTTAATGAGATTCACAGGAGACACACAATGTTTTAAAAAGAATTACATTGGTAAAAAGTGCTAACTTGGAATGAACAGGGAAGGGACTATAAAAAATGAAAAGAGACCTCTGGCTGAGAAATGGCACAGATGCAAACCCTGGCTACATTTTTACAGAAAAGAAAGGACAGCTCAGAGAGTAGAAAAAGAGTAAAAAAGGTGGAGCCTAGAGCATGGAGAATCACTTTAATGCTAGGGTCAGAAAGAGTCCTAATGAAGGAACATCTAGCACCTGCACGCACATCAAGATTTCAGAATTACTACTTATTAGTGACTGCTGCCTGCCTCTCATTCCTGTACCGTTTGAATAGGAACACCTAGCACAGATATTCTCTGCTTGTCCCACCATTGCATACTATATTATTCAAGAGGTGAGTGCTGGGGGAGGCATAGTTACCTATCTCAGGAATTCCCAAGCCTTCGTACTGAAAGCATCCATTCTCTAGGATCTGTACAAGGAAACACACGCAAGGAGCATCATCCCCATCTAACTTAGTTTAAATGCAGAGATTGTGGACACTAGAGCTGATTCAGTGGGAAGGGACTCTTAGTAGATGTTAGGTAGAGTGAGCATATTTTTGGGTGTGAGAAAAATCTGTATAATTTGAGGCCAATAGGTGGACTATGGTAGCTTAAAACCCTCTTTGAGACTCCTCCCTTCAAAAAGTAGTGCTATTGCCTGCTCCTTGAGATTGAGCTGCATGTAGTTACTTGCTTCTAACAATTAAACATAGTAGAAGTGACAGAGAAACTGAAGCTTGAGAACAGAGAATGGCAGGAGCCACCTCTTCTATGCCCAGGACTATGTTATACTCTCTGAATGACTCATCCTATGACTGTCCTTTGCCCACTCCATTCACCAGGCTTGGAATGCCCTGCCACTCATGTCTTTGGCTGACCCCTGCTTATACTTCAGTGGTAGTTTCTGTATCATAGCACAGACTGCACACTCTACTGTAACTCTCAATGTGATATTCTCTTCCCTCCCTCTCTTCAGGGGGGCGCTTTTGTCTTGAATTTATAAATTTTTCTCAGGAATGTAAGAGAGGTATCTTTGGTGAATTAAGGGTTCCATGTTTGCTCACTGGCAGTTTACAGGCCCCCCAGAGGTGGCTGGGTTCCCCCCAGGAAGGGTAATGTGTTCTTGCCCAGTCCTACGTTGTGGTTAAAGGGATCAGAGGATACTGCTCCAATCCAGAAGCAGTTTAGAGGGTGAGTGTGGTTCACCATCTATGGATGGTGAGCAGGTAGCAAAAGAAATCGAATTTCTTTCCGTTGTGTAAGCATGATTCAGTGTGTTCTTTGGAAACTCAGTAATGGGTACCCTGTGTATGCTGCAAAAGAAACATTAACTTAGCCAGGTCTATGGCCTTTGGAAAGTCAAAGAAGACAGGTCAAGGAACCCAAACATTTTTCTTAATTCAGGGCCAGGTTACCCTTTGTTCAGCAGCTGAGAATCCCTGTTCAGAGGCTTGTATCCTACCTTGTGACTCACACATGGCATTACCTGACACTCCACTTCTTAGAACTTTTCTCCCCAGTGGGAACCTAGAATTTGAAGTGGTTTTCCTCAATATTTATCTTTCAAAGGGCCCAATATGTGAATTTGTACACAGGAAAAATAGGACTAACAATAGGAGTTAGCGTCAGTGTAGCTGTGTGCCTTGAACTAGAACCCAAACAAAGACTTGGAAGTATGTATATAACAATGTTTCCAGGTTATGATCACAGAGTTAATAACCATTCTTATGCCAGGCCTCCCACCCTCAGGTGAAGCTTGATGTCCCATATTTTGGGTTCTTGTTTTGGGTGTGTGTTTCACTCATCCTCAGGTTCATTTCCATGAATAAATGATAATAGAGGAGAATCACCCACAGTTTCTCTCCTTGAGGTATTTTTATCCTAGAGGGCAAGATGAAAGTGCAGACAAAGCAGTAGTCAAACCTCAGAGAGAGGAGCAGTTGAGAAAGAGCGCTTGGAACAGGGTCTGGTGACACACACCTGTAATCTTAGCACAGTGAGCTGAGGCAGGAGTAGCACAAGTTTAAGTCCAGCCCAGACAACTTAGACACTTGGAGAGACCCTGTCTCAAAATAAAAAAATTAAAAGGCCTGGCAATGTAGTTCAGTCTGAAGGACCTGGGTTCAATCCTCAGTACCAGAATAAACAAACAAATAAGGAGGCTTTGGTGCACTGGGCCTCACTGGGCAGATGAGACCTGTTGGGACTGACATTGATATAATTAGGAAAAGATCAGACGTTCCAGATGGAAACAAAAGTAAGAATAGATGCATGGCTCTATAGAGGTGGGGACATGGGCTGCTTCTGAGGAACATTGAGACGCATAATTCACCACACAGCAGATGGAGAAGAGCTGGAGAGGCAAAGAATCACAAAAAGCTGCAACATGGACCAGTGAAAATGGATTTACGCAGTAGTCCAGTGGTGACCAGATCTTATGATTTCAGGGCCAGGACAATTTCAAAACCTCTAAATTTTTTATTTTGCAAAGTAAGAACATCTTTTAAATAATCAGCTTCATGGAATATCGTTCAATTTTATAAGGGAAATTCTGACATGCTGTGTATGAACCTAGAGCAATTGTATTAAATGAAATTATATTACACTAAATGAAACATATTATATAAAACAAGACAGTCACAAAAAGACAAAAATTATGACTATTCATATGTGGCTCCTAGAGTAGTCAAATGCACAGTCAGAAGTAGAGTGGTGGGTGTTAGGGGCAGGGGGAGAAGAAATGAGGACTTAGTATTGAATGAAGATGAGTTTCAGTTTGGGAAGATGGGACGTTCTGCAGATGGATTGTGGTGCTGGACATTCACAATGTAAATATCCTAATGCCACACAACTGGACACTTAAACATGGTTACTGTGACCTGTCTTATGTGCACTGCTTATCATAGATCATAAAAGTCAATTTCTACCAGCTGTCACCTTCCTTTCATCAAAGAAAGGCCTGTTAGCCTCAAAAAATACACAAAAGCCCTTGGACCTTGTTGGAAAGTGTCCAAAGTTTTAGGATCCAGCTCTTGACTTTTGACCTTTGGGAAGTGGGGCCTTATGGGAGGTCCTCACATCATAGACGATATGCCTTCAAAAGAGACGGTGGGACCCTTGAGGCATCTGCTTCCCTTTGCTCCCTAGCAGTGATGTGAGTAATTTGCTTTCCCACATGCTCCCACTATCACATGCTGCCTCACTACAGATTCAAAAGAATGGGGCCAAATGATCATGGACCCAAACCTCCACAATTGAGAACCCAAATAAGCCTTTACTCTCTAGAAGTTAATTATCTCAGGTATGGAGAGATAACTGACACACATCCCTTCCTCCCCTGATCTCCTTTCAGGAACTTCCTCATGGCCAAGCCAGTCTGGACATCAGAGATAGAGGTCATGGACACAGGCCTTCTGGTCAGACTCCTAAGGAGCAAGAGACACAGGATGAGCAGAAATTTTGCAAAGCAACCAGAGTTATCTTGGTGCTGCCAAGTCAGGAGAGAGCTCACCTCAAGTTGTGCAATGGAGAGAATTTCACATGAGGCACTAGTTACAGCAGTGTTGGAAGAAATGAATGGGGTAAACAAGACAGGGTTAGGCAACTTAGCTTAGGAATGGCAGGAAGTCAACACCACCCCAAAGGCCATAGGACAAGGGAAAGATGAGGCATAGCCAGATCGAGTACACACTCTTTTCATATCTTGACCTCTATGCAGTAATCAATGCCGCTGGTCTCCATGTTGGTCATGAGCCTGGTTGTTCTTGGTTCCAGTCCTCATTCTTCTATGCTTTGCTCCTTTTTGCAGACCTCTGAGTCAGGAGCCTTCCAAAAGGAGAAAAGTAGAAAAGATGACCATGCAGGGGCTTCTCAGGGGGAACAGGGGAGGGGCTGGCTCCATTCTGTGGGGAGGGGGGCACCCCTGCTTCTCCCTAAAGCTCACTTTCCTCTCACCATGAGCAGGGATTCCCTGTGCCTTCAAAAGAAGCCACTCACTAGGTAAAGGAGCCTGAGAAATGAAGTTGATTGAGGCCAGTCACCTGCCATAGAAGCAGAGTCCATTAAAGGCAAGGACCAGAGCTAAATGCAGGCAGGTACATGACCACCATGGGAGGCCAATATCACTGACTGTTGTGGAGAGGCTAGGATGGAGAAGAAAGTGGTTGTGCTAGGTCTGGCTCAAATAAGTCATCCGGAACTATGTCTGTGTCTGATGGGGCACAGCTAACATGAAGGTGCTAAGTGCTTCTGAAGTGTTTGGCTGGAAAGGGGCAGGTAAAGAGAGAGGACCTTGGTGGTAATGGAAAAGATTTTAAGACTATAAAAGGCCATTGGGAAGGATTCAGCAGAGAAGGAAAAATTGAATGTACAAGAAAGAAGAGAATTAGTAGTCTTCGTGGTTCCCAAAAAGGTAGGAAGGCATCCAAAAATAGACCCAGGGAGTGGTCTTTAATCACACCATAACTAGAAAGGAGAAAGAAATGGAAGGAAGGAAGGAAAGAAAGAAAGATCAGATGGGTAGATGAGGGGATGGTGGATTGGTGAATGGCTACATGGGAGAGATGGTTGGATTGGTGAATGGTTGAGTAGGTGGGTGGGTGGATGGATGAAAGAAAGGAAGGAGGATCCAATGGGTGTGTAAAGAGATGGATGTATGGGTGCATAAATGGATGATGGATATGTTAGTTAATAGATGGAGAGATGTGTGAGTGAAAGGATGGATGAATGAGTGAGTGGCAAGTGGGTGGATTAATGGAAGGGAATCAGATGGGTGGAAGAGGAGTGGTGTGACTATGGATGGATGGATAGGTAGACGACTGTGTGGATGAGCATGTAGGTAGATAGGTGGGTGTGTAGATGGATAGGTGGATATATTGTGGATCGGTCGGTGGGTGGATGGCTGCATGGATGGATGGATAGATGCTGGATTTCCTTTACATATTGTTTCCTGTTGGTACAAGATGAGATATCTCATTTCATGGTTTTCCTTTCCTCTTTAAGGAATGAAGTAAGACTGTCTGCCATGGAGGGATAGAGGACAAAGAGGGAATTCAAGGAAGCATAAGTAGTTATTGTGGGTTTTGGAACAGGACAAGCAAGCCAAAATCTTGGGCAGTGCTGGAGGCTCACTTGAAATGGGTGACCATAAATTTGCAATAGAACCTATTCAGATGTTTTTAGACCCTTTCCTAGCAGTGGCAGATGCAGCAGCAAACTCACAGGGCAGCCATTGAAGAAAAGGAAAAAGATCCCTGGGTTTATTTAAGGCTAGCAATTTGTCTAGATGATTTCAGTATACATTAAAAAAAAAAAAAAAAAAAAAAAAAAAGAAGGGCAGCGTAGACTACAGAATCTGAGCTGAACAAGGCAAATGATGGGCTGAGGGAAATTGCAGAGGTTGTGCTGAGAGGTCACGCTGGAACAGATGAATCACAGCCTGAATGAGAACACGTGGGCAAGGCAGGCACCTAAATGAGTCGTCTGGGAAGAGTAGCAATCTCAGGTGATGACAGCTCTGAGGGATCATGAGGAGGTAATACAGTTAAATACCCTTGTTTGAGGATGGTGATCAGAGGAGCACACATTTTTGTATTCATCATTCTCTGAAATTGATGTTTGTCTTTTTCTGGGCTAGGATCCACCCTTTGTAATTCTTTTTTTTTTCGTACCAGGGATCGAACTCGTGTCCTTGCGCTTGTGAGGCAGGCCACCGAACCGCTGAGCTAAATCCCCGGCTTTTTTTTTTTTTACGTGGGTTAAACTCCCGGTTTTTTTTTTTTTTTTTTTTTTTTTTTTTTTTGGTACCGGGATTGATCTCAGGACCTCGCACTTGCAAACACCCTTTGTAATTTGTATAGCCTTTGCTTTATTTTAAAATTATATTATTAAAGATTAGTTATATACTCTATAACCCAGCCATTCTACTCTCCAGCATTTTATCCAAGAGAAATAGAGACATATATCCAACAAAGGCTTGCAAAGTGTTCACAGCATCCCCCTTCATCATAACCAAGAACTGAGCAAAATTTCAATACCTACCAAGAGCAGAATGAATCCATAACTGTGCTGTATTTATACAGCTGATTATAACTTATCAACAAAAAGGAAGGAGTACGTGCAAGAACTCTTGTTAATTGTAATAAGCCAGGTCCAGAGAGTAAATGTTGTGTTTTTCCATTTATAGGGTATCTGAGATCAAGATGAAGTCATTCTATGGTAAAAAGTTCAATAGTGGCAACAGGAAAGTAATGCCAGGAAACTTCTTAAATAATAAAAATGTCATTAAGCTCTGTGCTGTGGTCTGGATCTGCAAAGCTCTCCAAAGTCCCATGTACAAAGGGCATAGTCCCCAGCTTGGTACTCTTGGGAGGTGATGAAATCTGCAAGAGGTGGGTCCCACCAGGAGGTCTTCAGGTCATGGGCAGTGTGCCCTTAGATAGTACTGTAGAGCTCCAGCTTCCTCTTTTTCCTCTTTTTAGCTTTCCAGCCATGTGGTGAACAGTTTTGCTCTGCCATAATTTGCTGCAACAGGGACAATTGATCATAGACTGAACCTTCCAAAACTGTGAGTCAGAATATTTAATCTTTTCTCTTATTAAGTTTATTATATTAGGTATTCACTACAGTGATGGGAAACTAACACAATATTTGTATATAAAAATATTGAAAGACTAAATGTTAATTATAAAATTAATATGTGCTCAGTACAAAATGTGAGACAATCCAAAGATGGATAGAGAAGAAGATAATAACCTACGTACCCACTTTGGACCTCCTGGAGGCAGTTGATGTTATTGTTCATTTAATAACATTGGATTTGTGTTACTGTACTGCAATACTGGTTCTCAATTTTAAACCATCACAGTTGTTCTTAAAAGTCAGCAGATGGGGATTCTAACTCATCTTTTTCCACATAACACAATTTTATTGAAATGCCCATTTTTTTACATAAATATTTTCATTATCATGACAGGGATATTTTTCAGTCTTGTAGCACAATTGTCCAGCACTCAACTTTTTCAAGTCAAAGTTAGCTGATACCTTTGATGCTACTATAAAAATTTATCCTAAGCTACAGAGGTCATTTGCATTAACTACTTTCAAGCAAAATCCAGATACCATTCATTCCATCTGTAATAGTTCAGCATGAATCTCTGAAGGTTAAAATTATTTTCAAGATACAACCACTCACCAGGTGTTGTAGTGCACACCTGTAATCCCAGCACTCTGAAAGGCCGAGTCAAGAAGATCACAAGTGTTCCACCCTAGCCTAGGCAACTCAGTGACTTAGTGAAATACTATCTCAAAATAAAAAAGAAAAGGGCTGGGATATAGCTCAGTGGGAAGGCCATAGGTTCAATCCTCAGGACTGAAGAAAAGAACCACAGTAACTTCCTCTCTCATACACACTCACACACTCACACACACATGCACGCATGTGACACATCTCTTCACTTTGCAGATTATTTGTTTAGGAAACAAAGTGTATTTCCCTGTAGGGCTTTCTGCACTATTTTGTTGTCCTTTAATTATGTCCCCTCTCATGCTTCTGTGAATTGGTAGCTAGAGCTAGAACACGGGAAGATTTAGTGTGTGTGTGTGTGTGTGTGTGTGTGTGTGTGTGTGTGTGTGTATTTCTTAGGTGATGATAGAAAAACTGTTTTCATGAGGAACTTGTTTCATGGAGACACATAACTCTGATTGCCTGGGCAACTTAGCAAGACTCTATCTCAGAAGAAAAAAATGTGTATGGAAAGGGGAAGGGAGATGTAGCTCATGCAAAGGTCCTGGTTTAATCCCAAATACTTAAAAAAAATACCTGGAATTTACATGGCTGGATATGGACAATGAGCAAAGTAAACACGGAAGTCACAGATATATGAGGTGAAGAAAATTAACATAGGACAGATGATGGGGATTGTGTTTTAAACAAGGCAGTGAAGGAAGTTTTATGATCCAGTGATAGATGAGAAAAGTCCTAAAAAGGTGATGGGAAACAAGTGTCCCCTGGGGAAGGGTAACCCTGAGAAGGAGCACCTACAAAGGTGGGTATACCTGTGGGAAGAGCACACCTGGGCAAGGGCACCCCTGAGGAAGGGCGCACTGAACACAGGCTCAGGAGCAGGAGTACGGCAGTAAGGAGGCCAGTGCAGCCGGCACAGAATGAGCAAGGGCGGTGCAGGGGGTAAGGGAGCATCACCGTGCAGCCAGGCTCAGGCCCAGAAAGTGAAGACCGCATGTCCTCTCTTCAGTATTTGTTCATTCAGTGGTGGCTGCCAACACCAGTTCTCCACTGTGGACGGTGGTGAGCCTTTCATGGGGAGTGAGATGCCAAGTCCACGGCGCCTCAGGCCCTTGCTCTGCTGTTTCCTCACACCGGTGATCTGTGCCCTTCCGCTGGCTCCCTCACTGCTCCCAAGTCTCAGTGTGCAAAGCAACTCCTCAGGAAGGCCTTTCTGGGCTACTGCTTTGAAGTGTTTTTTCATGAACGCTTTTCTCTCCACCCAATGTAGTTCTCCCAGCACCAAGAACTGTCAGAAAATGTCTGACTTATTAATGTAAGTCTACTTCTTTTTCAAATGCCATGAGAGCAGGGACCAGCTCCTAGACGATCCCTGGGCACATGTGGATGATTGGTGAACAAGAGTGGGATGAGTGATGCCCTAGCTGTAATACTCTCCCCTGTGTATCTGTGCCCATGGCCTCATGTGTGCACCTGAGGCTGACTGGGCCTAGGATGCATCTTTTTCTCCTTCTCTTTAACTAAAGGGAAAAGGCATCCTTCCACTTCTCTCGGGCTCCTCTAGCCTCCAAGACCTACCCACCCTTGATGCCTCTGGAGCCTCCTTCCATCCTTATCTGCTCTCTTACCTCCTTGTCCCTGTCCTCTTGTTATTTCCATCCCTACAAAGGCATGCTTGGGTCTCCTCCACTCTAAAATTCTTTTTTGTGTGGGGGGGTACTGGGGAATTGAACTCAGGTCCTTGCGCTTGCAAGGCAGGCGGCAGAACCACTGAGCTAAATCCCCAGCCCCTAAAATTCTCTTTTTCTGTGAGACCTGACTGAACTAGAGCAACTCCATGTTGACCAGCAAATGACCCAGAGACTGTTGTTTCCCCCGTTATAGGATAAGTAATGATTAATTGTGAATTACTAGATAACTTCTTGGGAGTTCTGGGAAACTAGAGAGAAACTGAACAAACACAGAGACCCAAAGTAAATCACTCTACTCCTTGTTTGCCTGTAACTGAATGTTCTGAACACCACAATCTATAAAACAATGGGTAATCGATCTGCTGACCATTAGTACGTAACGGTCAAGTACATGATTGATGACCACCAGCTCGGATCAACTGACCACTTGCCTTTGTCCCCTTCCTGTAAGTTTCAAGTGTTAACTCCCCATAGCCCTTTATAAAATAGCCTCTGACTCTGAGCTAGTTGCCTCTCTGAGCTACTTGGCTTTGGGAGTGCTGTCTGGCCAGACTAACAGAGGTCTATTTACTAACCAGCCTGGTGTGTTCCTTCCTGGGTGACTCTCACTGTCCAACAAGCTCCTGGAGCCTTGACGAGCTTTGGGACTGAGCATCATGGAGGCCTTTGGGCTGTTCAGGCTCCACGGAGTAAAAGTGAGACTTTAAGTCTTACACTTCTACCTTTTTTTTTTTTTAACCCATTTCTCCACTCCCCTTGTCCTTCACATCTGTAAAATAGATGTTTTTCCTCCATTTGAGCTTTAGGGACAATATTCACAGAGTCAAAACCAGTGCTGTGTAACACTGTGTGTGTGTATTACGCATGAGAGAGGTTTCCCCTAGCGAGACAATTTGTAGCCTCAGTTACACTGTCCCCCCAAAAGGTTAAGAAACCATTACATTACCCAATGTTACTTATGAATGCGATGGTTTGTTAAAGAACAATTTTAGAGGAAAGAATGGTCAGAGAGAGACACTTACCAAGCCTATGTCAGGACACCCTGCTGAGGGTGCCTGCCTGTCCTGGGAGGTCATCTGCCCAGAGCTGGGCTGGGCACTGAGAGCAGCAACACTTGGCAGGGTTGCCCTCTGTCAGCTGTTCTTAGGAGAGCGGAGACATTTCCCTTACTTGCAGCTGACTTTATTTATTTATTCAGCTTCCGCACTTACTCAGGGAAATGTCTCAATTTATAGTCCAACCAGTCTAACTGCTCTCCTCATCATTTTATCCTAACCTCAGCACATGAACAGTAGAGCCTTAACAGTTTAGAACATTTTCAGTCCTCTGGCAAAAGCACTATGCCTATTTGCAGTTTTTTTTCCTGGAAATTTCCCAAAACACAATGTCTGCCAATGAGCTCATTACAAAAACCTCTCACAGTCTCCCTGGGGGATTATACCAGGAACAGAAATATCCAAGGAGTAAATGTTGTTTCAAGATATTTTAGTTTTGTTATTATAAAAAACTTTTTATTCACTTTATATTATAAAGCTATTGCTAGTACATATATAAACTAGTACACTGGAAATTTCCCAAAACACAATGTCTGCCAATGAGCTCATTACAAAAACCTCTCACAGTCTCCCTGGGGGATTATACCAGGAACAGAAATATCCAAGGAGTAAATGTTGTTTCAAGATATTTTAGTTTTGTTATTATAAAAAACTTTTTATTCACTTTATATTATAAAGCTATTGCTAGTACATATATAAACTAGTACACATATATCTTTGAATGAAGGCTATACTTCTTTGCTCCATGGACATGAGTTCTGGGCCAGTGAAATGGGGTTTTGCTACTGGATCCAGACTGAGGAAGTAAGGTATCCCTTTCTAAGCAGAAGATATATATCACTGCTTTTAAATCCACTCCTAAAATGCAGTGGCTCCCAACAATAACTCATTATTATCTCACAGACCTGTGGATCGACTGTTTTCAGTTGCTTACCCCCGGGTTTCTTATGTGGTTGTTGGCTGGAGATGTAAATCATCTCCAGATCCAGCTGGGCTCATTGTCTGACACAGCTCAGCTACAGAGCTGCAGTTAATGCCAGCTGTCACCTGGAGCCTCGGCGGGCTCCCGAGTGGAGCACTCACACATGGCACTCGTGTGGCTTAGGCTTCTCCCAGCACGACAGCTGGTTTCCAAGAGGGGGCAATACCAAGACAGAATAGAGACAGCCAGGTGGGAGCTGCACAATTTCTTACTCATCTGGCCTCAGAATCTTACTTCTAAAATGACTGCAGTCAAGGCAAGACCAGATCCAAAGGGTAAAATAGGACAAAAGGAAGGACTTGATAGAAGGAGCACCAGATGCATACAGGAAGAGAAAGAACTGTATTAAAACCACATTGTAGATGCAGAAATGTGTATAATTCTTTTATGCGAATTAGTTTTTTAAGTGAGAGAAAGACATGTTGAATCCTTCCAATATATTTTTATTACATATTTAAGAGACTCATAGTTTACTGTAAACATTATTTTTATATGGAATAAGAAACCAAAAAATCCAAATGACTCAGTTTATACTGTGACATTCATTTATTGCAGTGATCTGCAACTGAATCTAGAACATTTCACAGGTAGGCCTGGAGTCTCCATGAGTATTTGGAGTATCGCCGAGTATTTGGCTTTCATAAACTCTGGCTTGGTCTTATTCATGAATAATTTTATCATTCAGTAGATTGGCAAAAACCATAGTTTGAACATTGTGGTCATGGTTTCATTTTCATAAATTTCTTCATTCTGATTTTAGTCTTTTCCAAGCTCTCAAAATTCTCATGAAACTGGCCATGGTGGTGAGTCCTGTAACCCCACCTGAGGAAGGTAGATCCTGTTTGAGGTCAGTCTGGACAACTTAATGAGAGCCTGTCCCAAAATTTAAAAATGAAAAAGAGGCAGGGATGTAGCTCAAAGTTTCCTGAGTTCGGTCCACAATACCTCCCCCCAATTCCTATAAAATATTTTCCTACATGGAAGTCTGATTTCTAAGTCCTCCCAAGTGGCTCACTTACACTTTGGCCCTTTATTCATTACTAAAGTCAGCTAGGCCACAGACATTTCAAAAAAGTGGTCAAAGTGCTTTCTGGCCTTGCTGGGAAAATAGCTGTTGGATGAGTAAAGACATCCTACCCTGAGGAGGAGGAGGCCACCCTCTCCAAGTGGGAGCCATTTGGGTTCAGTTATACTGGCCACTAGGGGGAGCCTGGAGCTCTTAGTTCCCATCCAGCTGTGGGCTGTTTCCCACTGGCCTGAGCGTGTTCCGACCATCATCCCAGGTTTAGCTTTGAATCCTAGCAGCACTGCTGACAACCTGGATCCTTGGCCAGGGTGCTCAGCTTCACTGCACCTCCTTCCCTTTCTCATTTGTTGTATTCAGATACTGCACTAGGCCTTGTCTTTATTTTATTTTATTTTTTCAAGGCTGAGAATGGAACCCTTGGCCTTGCACATGCTAGGCAAGTAAGGATTACCTTTAGCAGGATTTCTTTTTTTTTTTTTTCCAGCTTTAATTGAGTTTATTGGTACATTTTAGGGATACAGTACAGTTACATTCATTGTTGGGATCTTGTACCTCTACATGACAAGTCTTGATTCTCATTTTTTCCCCTTACCTCTGCCCTCCCTTCACCCCCCCTCCCCTCCCCATCTACAAACACTTTATTTTTATCTTTTCATTCTCTCACATTTTTTTCTTTTCCCTTTTTACTCTTCCCCTATCCATCCCACCTTCCCTACACCTTTAGCTCCTTTCTTCCCATTTCTAAATGTCAGTAATCTTATTAGAATCTTATGCATTGTTGCAGATTATTTACACCAGGGAAACTATTCAGTATTTACACATGTGTGACTTATTTATTTCACTTAGGAGTATATCTTCAATATGTATCCATTTTCCTATGAATGAATCTATTTTCTCGTTCTTTATGGCTGAGTAATATTCCATTTTATAGAAAAACCACAACTTCTTTATCCAGTTTCCAATGGATGGGCAAATAGGCTGTTTCCAAGATTTAGCTATTACAAACTGCGCCGCTATAAACATGGGTGCACATACTTTTCTGT